GGATAATTTACTGATTTTAAAATTCTAATGTACTCTAAGTATCCTTCACAATCATCAGAAAGGAAGAAAAAGGAGATCTCAAAGTCAGACCAGGAATCTTATTTTCGACTACCCCTGTCCATAAGACAAGGGCAAACAAACCTAAACAACTGCATAAACAACATCCACCCATCCCCAGAATTGCTCACACCATTTAGGCAATTTAGAGCAGTAAACACAGATAAGCAATCTGCATAGAAGCAGCTTTGGGTGACCACAAATGGATACCGCTGTTTAATTCAAGCCTCTCTCACCTAAACAAGTTTGTTTTCTCAGCGGTGTTTATTTGTATAAGGGAGTGCTAGGGAAAAAAATTCCATCCTCCTCCAGATTATCTGCTTCAATGTTGTGAAAATTCAGTATTTCCCCAGCATGGGAATATATTCCTCCTACAGACACAATCTGTATTTTGTGGTCTCGCCAACATTTGTTAGCTGGTTGGGTTTTTTTCCCTGTAGCTCATAGCATTTAGCTGGGACTAGAGCTGATCTTTGAAATGGGAGAAGTCCTACAAGGTTCAGTCTGGAAAGGAAACCCCATCTGATCAGCATTTCTGTCTCAAGAGGCAGGAAAATGGGGGAAGGAGAGATGAGGCCAAAATAGATACATAAGCTTTGAAAAAATAAATTGGGGGATGATGCCAGAGAAATGTTTTTCTCCTTTTCATAAATTTTCTAATACTGGACAATGGAAATGGTGACAAAAAAAGGTAAGAAAAGCTTTTGTGATTTTTTTTTTTTTAATCCACAGTGAAATAGCTGTCTGGCACAAAATTATAAACATGTCAAGTTGTCAAAATGTTTTCCCTAGCTCATACATATTTCAATCTTTTTCACTTTCCTGTGAAAACATACAGTATAAGGCAATGGCTCATCCTGTGTGGTGGTGCTGGCCTGGATACTGGAGGCTGCACTGGCTGTCAGTCCCACTGAGCCATAGCTTGGTTAACATCCCAGGTAGAGGAACTCAGTTGGAAGAGCCCATTTGTTTCAGATTGCCCTTAACTGTCTTCCTTCTCATCTTTCTGTGCAAACACAGTCCTGGGAGGGTGGAATAAGGGAGCCTGTGTTCTCTTACCCCTCTCTGGAGTTTTGTGGTCTCCCTGATCAGGCCAAGGAGCACACCTGGGGCTGGATGGGTGTGTGGGGCAGTGCTGGGGTAAGGAAATGGAAGGGGAATGGAAAAGGGAAATAGACATAGGAAAAGAACTTCTGTATCAGCAACTACATTCCAAATGTGGGGCTACCACAGTTTTTCCCTATCTACATCCAAGAAGGTCTTGGAAACATCTTCAAAATCCACGTCATCTTCTCCAAAGAAATTTGAGATAGTTCCCTGATACTTAGGGCCTGGCACATGAGCTTTGAAATTTCAGGGTGATGGTCTTTGAGATACCTCAGACTTTGCTAGGATAGTGAGAAATTGTCTTTATTTTGTTCTCTACTGCAGTCCAGTGCAACCTTTTCCCTGTCAAACAAAAGACCTGCATATGCAAGGTGAATACATGAAACTGGTGCAAAAATAACATCTGAAGTGAAAATCTGCCCACTTTCCACACTTACTCATTCTCAAACACATGAGAAAAAATGACACATGGTTTACTAGTTTGCTTTGTTATTTCTAAACTTGCAGGAAGGTCCTTTCAACAAAATTATATAGTAAAGTATGTTAAAATAATCCATTCAAAAAGCGAGTCTGAAATAACTTTGAAGCATGGGCTGACAATGACAGAAAGTACTCAAATGTGACCCTTAGCTTCAAAAGAGTTCAGAATGTGCTGGCAACGGCACAGAGATTATCTCCACCCACACAGGAGAGCATACATGGCTGAGTGGCTCTGTAGCACACAGGGAAACAAAACAGTCTAGCCCAGAATTATCCTTGTGGAGGAAAAAGTGCTCTCTGCTGGGTAGCAGAGAGCTTTCAGCCTGGCAAACAGATCAGAGGCTTGCACTCATGTTTGAACTCTCCATCCTTATGTCTCCATCACTCCTTGGATAGGGTGTAACCACCAAGAGAAAGAACAGCTAAACTTAATACAGATTCTGGCTATGAAAAAAAACAAGGTGGAAAATATGATCCAGGTCTTCACAGCACCCCCTGATGTCAATGGTCTGGGTGTCCCAGGCAGGTGCTGACCAGCTGCTGCAGAGCACTCCCCAGTGTCTGGGGAGATGCTGCTGGGGTGTGCTAGGCTGGCACAGCCACTGCGTTGCATCTCCCTGGGTTTGCCCAGAGCTTTCCATACAAACTGCTATGCACTCCTGACTTCAAAGACTTCATCGTTAAGGAGGGTAAAGTAATATATGAGGAGACTGAAAAGAAGTAAAATCAACTATTTCTACATCTCAGTATTTAATATGTAGCTGCAATTGTCACAGCTCTCCACTCAAACATCACGTTCAAGGAATGTCTTGTATTAAGAAGCAGGTCTTGAGGATGGGTTTACAGATAGTTTAAACACTCTCTGAGCCTAGCTCAGAATAGCATCATGAGGAACATTCCTACTAGAACCAGAAAGACAGAATATGTTTCTCAGTCTTTTTCTGAGGCAGAAAGCTCTAGAAAAAAATCATGTTTGTTACTTCTTTTTGAAACTCTCAATTTATGAATCACAATTTGATTGTCACTAAACCTCAGGGTATGTCAGGTTCTTTCTGTCTGGGATGCTTATCATCAGGAGAGCATGAGGTTCATTGGAGATGTGGTCGCTGTGGTCAGTTCACAGCAGTCAGGCAGGAAACTGTTGTTTACAGAATGTATATGACAAGCTGGGTCTTCTTTTCCATTCACCTTCCCTCCCCTTCTCAGGAGTGGTAACTCCTTTTGTCTCCTAGTCAGTCTTATCAGTAGCCTTTTAATCCCAAACACACAAAGTGAAGCACCTGAAGGAGGCAGTATCTTAACTGAGGATTTTCACTATAGGACCCTCTGAGAACAGCTGACAGCCCTTTGCAATTTCCTTCTTTCTCTTATCTCTTATCTAAACTCAGGTACTGCTGAATGGAAAAGCTCTTGGTGGCTGAGAAGCAACGGTGACACCACCAGCGTCCCAGTGCTGGGGAAGAGCTGGTGGGTGCTCTGGCATGGAGGCTGCTGAGGCAGGAGACATCTGTCCTGCTGTGTTGAGGTGTCAGGTGTATTTAGGATCTCACATGATTAGCAGCATGAAGTTGTGTCAGGGGAGGTTTGGGTTGGATATCAGGAAAAGGTTTTTCACCCAGAGGATGGAAGGGCACTGAAACAGGCTCCCCAAGGAAGTGGTTACAACACCAAGCCCAACAGAGCTCAAGAAGTATTTGGACAATGCACTTGGGCATGTGGTAGGACTCTCAGGTTTGTCCTTTGCAGGAACAGGAGTTGGACTTCAATGACCCTTGGGGGTCCCTTCCAACTCAGGATATTCTAATATTCTGTGATATAGCTCTATCCAAATTCACTTGTACTTGGGCTTCTGCTGTGTAGGCTCTTGGTGCCAATAGCACCCACACTCAGGAAGTACATTCCAGTCCTCTAATTTCAGCTTATTAGGAACATCTATAATAAAGCTCCTAATTTCAATAATTTGGATCATATTTGGGTTACATACCTGAAGTGAGCAGTGTGATAAAAACAACTGGCCTTACTCCCAGAGTGATAGGAGCCACTGAAACATGATACCCATATTCCCATAATTGCGTGCATTCGTGTATGGTGTAGGGCCTATGATAGTTGAAAAACTACTACAGTTTGCAGTTCCCTGTCTGAAAAAGTGGAAAAGATTTTCATATCAGTTCCCATTACCTTTTTAAAGCATCCTTAGAAGATTTTGTGGAGGTTTGCTACAGCACAGAGTGTTGCTGATGCACCTTCCCCTTGCTGCAGTAGCTGCTGTCAAACCCGTCCCTAGGAAATACTGTTCCCCTTTCCCATTCCCTACACTGGTAGTTCTTCTCATATTACAGTTTATGAAGCATCAGTATGGATACACAGTGTACACTTTTAAACCATTCTCAATGTCTCCCAGGAATAAAGCAGATAGGAAGCTCTCTATGCTGTGACAGAAGTTAGGTCTGGCTGCTGCATTGCAGCGGGGCTGGTATCATTATGTTGCCTTGTTTCACACAGATTGCCTGCCAATAAAGTCAATACTTCTACACATTTACATGGTTGGTTGCCAAGTTAGAAACAATAAATATGGTGAAACAAATACAAACAGTGCAAAGGAGTTTTCAGGCTTTCAAATGTAGTCCTGATTTGCAGAACTCGTGCATTTGTGCCCAGCCCTGGAGTGGAGCTGCGAGGCTGGCTGGTGGCCATCAGAGCTGTAAAAACCAGTGTTTTCCGTGTCCTCAATAAATAACAGCTGTGGGAGGGCTGGTGACACTCTTGAAGCAAAACCTTAATAGATATCAGAGAACTTGCCTTATAAAAAGTAAGAAAAATGAAAAATAATTCAGAGAATGAGGAGCAGTGGGGAAGTGTCCATATGTGGACACCTCCTTCTAGTTTCACTCCCACAAGCAATATAAGATGCATAAATTATTCTCTCCATGCTGGGAAAAAAGGTACAGCCTCAGGACTATTAGCAATGGGGGAGCCTTTGCATTTTAGCACTGTGGAGAAACACACATCCTTCTGAAATACTGATAGACTAAGCCATGTGCATGCAGCAGCTCCTACATTTACTGTTGGTTGGAGCTGTGTCATCTCACGTGGATCCAGGCTGCAGACAAGCACCTTTGTATTATGGTGAGACAATGAAATAGGTAGAAAAAAAATCATGCTGTCTCATTAGGGTAAGATTATAGCATTCAGCAGGGGAATATAGGCTGATGAGCAGAAGCAGCATTTGGAGAAGATGTGCAAGATTTGAATCAGGAGAAGAGCTTCAGTTCTTCCCTTCACAGCTGCCTTTGGTGGGTTCAGCTAGCAAGGATGGCAAGGGAACCAGACTGCTTGAAACAGAGTCCAGCTCCTTTCCAGGTCTTGCCAAAATCTTTCCAGCATTTTAGCCAATGGGAATGGCAAAGGCAATGTCCTTCTTTCTGCTAGAGTCACCTCCTCAGAGAGATCCCAGGGCATTGTGGGCGCTGTAACATGGGGTTATTCTCAAAGTGAACCTCTTCTGGAGATGGAAGCTGTACATGACAAGAGAGATGCAAGTTTAGGTCTCCCAACACACTCTTCAATGTAAAATGACACTGTGTTACTTCTAAGAAATGCTTATGGCATATTGGTTTTAAAAATATACTTTTTTCACATCAAATTGTGCACCTAATAGATCACAAAGTATTAATGTGCTCTTCAAAACCTTTTCATAATAATTCTGCCTTTTATTCTGTGGAAGTTAAACTATCAAATAAACAAATTCTTGCATTTCTAATAAATGTGTGTATCTGGATGCCTCCTAGTGCAAAAGCAACAAATCACATTAGTAACGTCTTGCATTATACAGGTTAATTTGTCCTTGAACACACCATTAAATATATAATGATTTTAAATTACATCATTCATACCCACTGACATTCTACTGATAAACCACATTTAGCAGAAACAGCTGCAGAAAGATTTGTTAATTGAGCCCCCAAGCAAATGGTTACAGTAATTAATTATTTGCCATATTTCTAAATAACAAAACTGGGCTGAATTCCTAACTGATGCAATGCCACTGTCTTCAGAACACCCTGTTTATCTCGTTGTACTCAGATAATTTGCTACTTGCACTTGACCAAACATTTTAGAGTTCTCTTGAGGCATCTGTACAACTTTACATCCCTGTTCTGGAAAATCTCATAACTTGTCCTTCACAAAGACCTTTCTGTAGGAACAGGGGTTTCAAATTATGTGTTTCTAAGGATTCAGCTTTCTGGCATATAAATAGCTCAGGGGCCTACTGGACTGCAGGTAGCTCTCCCAATCACTGATGAATGAAATATCAGTGGAAATGCAATCCCCTACTGTAATTTTGAGTATTTTCTTTAGTTGAATTCCAATATTGCTTTCATGCCACTGTCCCATTAAACACATCATTGGTTTATCTGGATTGTACTGCAGGTGACTGACAGTAGATAATTCATCAAACATTTTAAATACTGTGGGCATGTATCTGCTGTTTCAATGTTGGACTATAAGCAGCCACTTCTTTAATATATTTGGCTTTCCAGTGTTTTTATCAGTCTGAAATTTCCACTTTTTATTATTACATTGATTTGCTTTATGAGTCGGAAGTGTAAGGATTTTTGATGGTTTCCAGTTTACACATAGTTTTCTTGAGGCAAACATCAAGGAGGGACTGTGGTCATTCTCCTAGGGAAAAAAAGCTTTGCCAAACTAGGCAGTTTGGAAGACTCCTTTCTAAGCAGAGTGCAAGAGAGAAACAAATATTTCTTTTAAATCTGTTCAGGACTACATACTGTTACTGTTTGAGCAGATTTAAAAATCCCGTTATCTATCTGGGAGCTTGGTGTGCTTCAGCCAGCACAAGTGTGCCCAGCACCCTGGCAGCCAGTCCTGGGGGTTCCCAGGGTCCCTGGGGAGGTTTACCTGCTCCCATCTCCCATACATACTCAGCTTCCTCTGGCAGATGAATCCAGACACGGTAAATCGCGTGGAGCTGGCAACTCTGCTGGCCGTCAGTCAGACAGGGAGCTATGGGCTGCACAGTCTCCACATTTATTTTGTATTTCTGAATTTACTGCTTGTAAACCTGCAGCAGAGGAGCCCAGCCATGAAACTCTGTTCCAGAAGCACTGATCTGGGTTAACCTTCAGTCAAGTCCTAAAATCTGGCTTGCAGAGGCTGCTGTTTTGTATGTCTTCCACGTATTTTTTTTTAATTCTAGTCAACTTTTCCTGAACCCATGAAGAGCATAATTGCCTTAAATGTGTGGTATGATTGACTGCAGGAGGTGCCTCAGTGACTGTGCTTTATTTTTCTATAACGGCATTCTCCAGGCTTCTGCTGAAATTTGGGTAGTTTATCTATTGATTGAATGAATTGCTGTCTTTGCCAGCTATTTGTCATCTCTAACTACCGTTTTGAATACAGAAATATATTTTAAAGTGAGGGTTCATTTTATTTTTATTTTTGGCAGCTTGGTGAAGCTTTTATTCCAATAGCAACATGGAGCTGTGCTTGATGTGTTACAGCTACCTCTTCAGCTTAAAGACTGGAGATGTAAAGATGTTTTTGGCCCAGTGTACAGTATCAGCACATATGGAAACACAAATGGTCACAAAAGCTTCTTGATTTAAAAATTGGGATTTATTTTCTTTTGACTAAAGCTCTGTAATTTGAAATATTTGTAGTGATGAGCCTTGCTTTCCTTATTGAAATGAAGAAAGCCTGAGCTGGGTGTTGAAGCTGTTAGGTAAATACAAAGGTTTTCATGGGGGGAATTGTCAGAGCAGGTTGAATAGTGCACCATAAAGGTGAAGACTCATTTACAGCTGTGGAAAATAGTTCCCTTTCTTTGCTCCAAACCTATATGCTTAGAACAACTAAAATTTTCCATGCTTTTACACACAATGCAAGCCTGATAAATGTTCTGTCATTAAAGTTATTTTGGACAAGCTGGAAGTATAGAAATAATTCTCATTCTATTTTTGTCTTTAGCACATTGGCCAGCACAATGGACAGGACTACATTTTCCTACAAGGATAATTCACAAACTCTCTGGCTTCCACCCCATTTTTGACTGAATCTTCTTAATTTCTTGCCAAGAATTTCAGTGCTTACCTAAGAAAACTCATGCCAGGATTCAACAGCTCATGTAATCTGCAAGATCCTATCAAAAGTCATTAAACCATGCTGCTATAAGAGTCAGTTAGCAGACACAGAGGCCCAAACCTATGCCTGCCTCACTTTCTCTGCATATTCAAGATGCTCTCACAGCTGGAGAGCAGAAGTGACAAGGAAGGAACTCCATTTTTAACTATCCCACCTCGCAGGATTCACCTGAAATGGCATCTCTGGGACATGAAGGGGTTCTGCTCTGGGGAACACAAAAAAGGAAAGGGTCCTTAATCTTTTTAACATTCTCAGGTGAAAAGAGATTTTTCAGAGGTCTAAGAGAGACCTTATCATAACTGCTGCAACACTGTTGGAGGTGCTCTGCATGAAAAATAAAGAGCTCTTCCAAAAGTTCTTTTAAAATCCTTAAAAATATAAAATATTCAGTAACCTCAGTATGTGGCAATGGTCTCCTCATGAACATTGTTCTTGCAACATGTAATATATTATGCCTAGCTGATGTGAAAAGGGAAGGCCTGCACAGGATCTAACTAAACCACTGAATATGTGAGGGTTTTAGTTGTTCTGAAAATCAAGACCTTCTGAAAAAAATCATGCAACCTTTTATAATATATCCTTTAATTTGTCATATCTTACAGTGCAACTAAATTATCTATTAATATTCAGATTTTTCCCAAAATCCCTTATGAAAAGTAAATATATGTGTAAGCAAGGCATATATATACACACACCAAAAAATGCTTCAGTTTAGCAAAGAGCCATACCCTAGAAATGCTTTTTGTCTCTGCCTATATATGCATCAAGGTTAAGAGTTGCCGCACAAGGTGGCTGTTGAAGAAGCATGACTATAAAAAACTCCTTGAGTCTATGGAGGACAATATGTTTAGTGCACAAAAATAAATACTCATGTAAAATTGATTGGGAAAAAATTAAAATAGGATAATTATAGTTATAAATCCACTGGAACAGTGGGATGTGAACAGCGTGGTTTGATTAGACGATTTGCAAGTTGATTAGTGATCCTTATCTTTTCCTGCAGCATTTAATTGCCCTGTTGGTCGTAGCTGGCCTGATGAGAGATCTCAAGGCAGAATTTAGCGCCTAATCATGAGGGCAGGTGCTCTGAGAGCAACCACAACACCGCAGAGGAGATCCAAGCTCTCCCTAAACAATCTGCAGGAGGGATTTGCACTGTACCAGGGGAATTTGGTGCAGGATGACTTTATTCCCAAGTCTCTGTGGTATGTGCCAAACAGTTTTTCTGTCTTTTCAGTCTAGTAGCTGTGGCTAACTTGCAGTCCCAAATGCTTGCTTTCCACTGGAGAATCCTGAGTGTTTCCTCCTCATCCATAAACCTTCTCCTGTAAACTAATTTTTTTCTTGATGCTTTGCAGTAGTGCCCAGACCTTTCCTCTGTTCCAAAGTTCCAGAATCTTTGCTAATGGCAGAGGAGGGTGATGTACCCAAGTTTTTCCTGCAACCCAAACTGACCTCCCAACACCCAGTGGGCCCCATTGCATGGGGATAAGGAAGGCTGGCAGCACCTCCACGTTGTATCCTCCTTGCCTTAGTTTTCTCTAGGAAAAGAGGATACAAAATAAACTGAGAGCATTTATGCTCGTGTCTGACCCACCTCCTTGGACTTCAGCTAAGTCCAGCACCTTCATCTCTGCAATGCAGCCATCAATAGGGGTCACCACCTGCATAGAAACATGACCCCAAACCTTGGTGGTGTGTCCGCTCCGGCTGTTCGTCTCTGCCTGGACACGGGTAGCATGGCCTTGGGACAGCCCGCGCTCCAAAGGATGAGTCTGGACTCTTCAGATTTTCAGTCTTCAAATTGTTTATTATTTCTTATCTATAAAATTTTCTTTCTGCCCAACAGAGGTCTGACCAGCAAGGCAGCCAAGGGCACTCTGACCTCCCACTGGGCAGTCATCTCTTTTTATACTAAAAACTACGTACATCATATTTACCTTTATTTCCCAATACCTTTCACCCATATTAGCAAGGGCACCATCACCATGGACCAATCCCAAAGTGCCAACATCACCACAGAAAATGGATGACAAGAAGAAGAAAGAAGAAGGACAAGACACGCCCTGATCCCTCCATCTTGTCTCCATAACCCCCCTCTACCAAAATCCTAAAATCTATATTTCACTCTGTAAATACTTCATTCTCACACCATTCGTTCCCAAGTGACTCTCATGTCCTCAAACAGGTGGCACATCCCTCGAAGGGTCAAAGTCAAGCCACCAGGTACTTTTGGCAACATTCCAGGATCTCTGAGCCCCCCAAGGGTTGTCTTGGTAACTCTGGACATTCGGAGCGATGTGCTGAGTTCCCACAGTGATGTGGCTCCACATCTCTGCCAAGCATTCTG